CCAAGTACCGGCGGGACATGAACACGCGGGACAACGAGGCCAAGTCCCGGGCCGTGGACTCGCTCCTCAATTTCGAGACGGTACCATAGGCGGTGGGGGGTCGCTGAGCACTGCCTGGTGCTGGGGGCGCTGATCCAGGCGCTGACCCCGGCTCTGTGTCCTGCAGGTGAAGTACTACAATGCGGAGAGCTATGAGGTGAACCGCTTTAATGATGCCATCATCAAGTACCAGGTACGGGGCGCTCAGCACCGGTGGGGGAGTCAGGAGGGAAGGAGCTGAGCCTCGTGGGCACCTGCGGGGAGGACGGAGCTCACCATGGGTCTGGTTTGGAGGTGGCAGCATCCCGGAGGACCTTGCCTCTTCCAGGTCTCGGAGTGGAAGGTCAGTGCCTCGCTGGGCCTCCTCAACCAGACCCAGAACCTAGTCATTGGCCTGGGGCTGCTGGCAGGGTCCCTGCTCTGCGCCTACTTCGTCACCGAAAACAAGCTGCAGGTAAGGCTGGTGCCAGCCTGGGCAGCCCCTGCCCAGGGTGGGGCCCCGGGGCTGGTGGTGATGGGCACCTCTCCCCTGTCCCTTCCAGGTGGGGGACTTTGTCCTCTTTGGCACCTACATCATCCAGCTCTACACGCCACTTAACTGGTTCGGGACTTATTACAGGTAACGCTGGGAGCTGTGGGGGTGCCTGGGGTCCCCCTCCCCATGCGCACCTGGGTTGGGATGTGCTCCCCCAAACCCTTCCCTCTGGTCTTCGCCCCCTTCCAGGATGATCCAGAACTCCTTCGTGGACATGGAGAACATGTTCGAGCTCTTCCACGAGGAGCAGGAGGTGGGTGCCACCTTCCCGGATGCCGCTCCCTGGCACGGCCCCGTGGTCCTGCCCTGGGGAGGGGCTGGCTCTGAGGCCGTGTCTCGCCCTCCGGCAGGTGAAGGATGCAGTGAACGCAGGCGACCTGCACTTGGAGGCCGGGCGGATCGAGTTTGAGAACGTGCACTTCAGCTACGTGGATGGGTACGGGGCGGCGGGCATGGGGTGGCAGGGTGGGACAAGTCGAGCTATGGGGCCTGGCACAAGGACGTGGGGCAGGGGAGGTGGCCCTGAGCCCCTCTCCATCTCCCTCTCCCAGGAAGGAAATCCTGCAGGACGTCTCCTTCTCTGTGATGCCCGGGCAGACCCTGGCCCTGGTGAGAGCAGGACCTTGGGTGTGGGTTCAC